CCCCAAAACCCCAAAACCCCAAAACCCCAAAACCCCGAGATATATGTCTAGCTCTGAAAATAATTTAATTATACGTCATCAAATATGAAAGCCAACGATAACGAATACGTCATCCTTTCTGTCAAAGGGTAAGTCTCTTTTTTTAATATGAGTCAATAAGCCAGGCCTTTGAGTTAGTGACTAACACCTTCTGTAGATATAAGAAATTAGCAGGAATTGATAATACAGGGAAGAACTTGTATTGGACAACAGATATTAATACTGAGATCCCTATTAAAATGAAGTTACAAAAGCAAGATGGATATGAGCCACTCATGCCAAAAACTTTGTCTGAGTACCTCATTCATAATGTTGAGAACTATCCAGAAGACCCTTGTCTCCATGCTGAACTTATGAAAGGAACTTGGACAACCTGGAATTGGGCACAGGTCTTTGATATCTCTTTCAGATTCGCCAAAGCATTAGTCGCTATTCATGCGACTCATAGATCTTCTGTTAATATCATTGGGTTCAACTCTCCTTACTGGATGTTTGCCTTCTTCGGAACTATCATGGCTGACAACATTGCTGTTGGAGTGTACACTACAAATGAGCCTGGGGCTTGTCAATATGTTGCTGAACACAGCTCAGCAGAGGTTGTAGTAGCTGAAGATGAGAAGCAAATGCAGAAGTATATCTCAGTGCTTGATCAGCTTCCTAAACTCAAAAGAATTATTGTTTGGAACACAGATAGATTTATTAAAAGGCCTCATCCACTTGCTATTGGGTGGGAGGAATTCCTTGATCTTGCAAATGACCAAACTGAGTCTGATCTTACAAATGAAGAGATTGTTAAAGAGAGAATCAAAAATCAAGTTCCTGGAATGTGCTGTAATATCGTATACACAAGTGGAACTACTGGGAATCCTAAAGGAGTAATGCTCACTCATGACAACCAGCAATTTGTAATTATTCAGATGATTAAAAATGCTGAAGATGAAGGGTTCGAAAGCGGAAAAGAAAGAGTTGTCTCCTATCTTCCTCTCTCACATTCTGCAGCTCAAGCTAATGATGTCTTGGGTACTATTGTCTTTAGAAATCAAGTGTACTTCGCAAGACCAGATGCTCTCCAAGGGAGTTTAGTTGGTAAGGTTTTCATCAATAATCCATAGAAACTATGCAATATGCCAAGCCTACTATTTTCCTTGCCGTGCCAAGAGTTTATGAAAAAATGGAGGAGAAACTCAAAGAAATAGCTTCTCAAGCCCCAGGTGTCCTTCAAAGATTATCTAATTGGGCGAAAACTAAAGGAGCTGCTCATACAGAGGCTAGGCTTCAAGGGAAGCCAAACCCATTCGGATATTCTTTGGCTCATTTCTTAGTTCTAGGACGTATCAAGAAGGCACTTGGACTCGAAGAAGCTAAAGTTCTGATAGTTGGAGCTGCTCCTCTTAAGAAGGCTACCTTCGACTACTTCAAATCCTTGGATATGCCCATTGTTAACAGTTATGGAATGAGTGAATGTAATGGTCCAGAAACTGTGTCTAAAGTCAAGAAGTACAAAGAAGATACTGTTGGATTCGCAATCCCTGAGACACATATCAAGATTGAATCAAGAGAGCAAACTGAAGGAGGGTATGAGAACGAAGGCGAAATTTGTTTCAGAGGAAGAAACAATTTTATCGGATACCTGAACAATGAGGAAAAGACTAAAGAAACATTAGACCAAGACGGCTACATTCATTCAGGAGATATTGGAACCAAAGATGAAGAAGGATTTGTTAAAATCACTGGGAGAATTAAGGAGCTCATTGTGACCGCTGGAGGTGAGAATGTAGCCCCAGTTCTTATTGAAGATTCTTTGAAAGACATCTGCCCAATTATCAGTAACGTCATGGTTATTGGTGATGATAAAAAGTTCCTGAGTGCTTTGATTACTCTCAAGGTAGAAGTAGACAACTCTGAGGGGCTAAACACACCAACCAAGGATTTGACTCCAAACGTGAAAACTTTCTTGTCCAAAGAGCTGAATATCAAAGGAGTGACTACTACTGATGACGCAATCGACAATGAGGATATCCAGAGATATATTCAAGAGAAGATAGACGAGAACAACAAGATCTCGATCTCAAGGGCTCAATACATCAGGAAGTACAGGATCTTGCCCACTGATTTCAGTATCGAAGGCGGAGAACTCACTCCCACACTGAAGCTGAAGCGTAACATTGCTATTGAGAAGTACAAGGATATTATTGAAGAGATGTACACTGAGGAGGAGCCACAGAAAGCTAAAATTTAAACCCTGTGCTAAGTTACCATTTTGGGCTCAATTTTAATTCTTTGGCACGGGGTTTTGGGGTTTTGGGGTTTTGGGGTTTTGGGG